GGGCCCAAAACACCTGCATTTTAACAAGCACCACACTCCCCTCAGGCGAGTTACAGCAAAGGATGAGAATTCTAAATGTCCTTCCCGGCCCATGCCAGCTGGGGCTGCATGCGCTCCCTACATAGCTCTGACTTTTACTGAATTGCACATTGTACTGAGGGTTATAGCGGCACACGGTTCTCTTTCTTATTTATGGCCGGGATGCCGTGGGGATTAGTCACCACACTATCTACTCCCCTTCAGGATAACCCATAGGAGATATTTTTATTCAAGTCTGAAAAAGTTGCTGTCTTCCAAGCAGCTGGCTTGGCAATTACACAGGCCCTTTTGCTACATATTTCTGTGTGTCAATAATTGGTGGCTTAACTGTCCTCTCCTACTCAAGGTTTTTTTTATCTCCCCAATGTCTTCAATCCATTAGTACCCATTTCTAGTGTACTGTACTCATGTACGCGTCGTAGGCATCCATGCTGTTCATCAGTATCGAGTCCTACCCATTTCTGGACTCATGGGAGGAAAATAGTTCCCTAAGTCCTTGAAGTCGGGTGTGTCCATGTGATTTGACTGGCCAATGAAACGTGTGTGGAGGTGACGTATGTCACTTCCAGGTGGTGGCCACTTAACTGCTGGTGCCCCACTCTTCAGAACTTTCACCCCTTCCTGGGCAGTCGCGGAAGCGTGAGCTAATGAAGACGAGCCACAAAATAAAACAAGCCTGGAACACTGTGCCAAGACAGGGGACAAGTGCCCTGGGGGTCACTGCACCCACAGTGGGCTCTGTGTGCTAAGCTACCGAGATTTGGCTAAAGCCTAAGCCTACCCTGACCGTATTGTATGCAAATGACCTCAAATCCTTTTTGGACAGAAGCTGAGTTATAAACACACAGGCAAATACAGAAACAAACTCCTAACAAAAGCATATTTAAGAAAAGATATTTACAGAAGGTCCTTTACAGGATAAACGGCCCATCTACTTCTCTGAGCACTTCAAGTTTATGTTTACTTCCAGTCTGATCACCAGCCTCTTTGGGAATTAATGTCCCTGAGTTTTGCTTTAATATTCTGCTCTGGTTTTTTAAATTGTGGTAAAATGTACACAATAGTTATTTTAACCATTCGTAAGTGTACGATTCAATGGCATTAAATACATTCACACTGTTGTCTAAACATCACCACTATGTACACTCCAAAGTTTCTTATCATCCCCAACAAAAATGCCATACCCATTAAACAACCCATCTGTTCTTCCTCTGGCCCCTGGTAACCTCTATTCTATTTCTATCCCTATAGAATTTGCCTATTCTTGGTACCTCATAAGTGGAATTATATATATTTGTTCTTCTGTGTCTGGCTTATCTCACCAAGTATCATGTTTTCAAGGTCCATCCATGTTGTACCATACATCAACCTTTCATTCCTTTTTATGCTGAATAGTATTCCATTGTATCTATGTAGCACATTTTGTTTATTTATTCATCAGTTGATAGACATTTGGGTTGTTTCCACCTTCTGGTTATTGTGAATAATGCCTCACTAGTGTTGTGTTTTTTGCAAGTGGAAGGGAAGACCCTCTACCAGCAAAAAGATTACAACTTGTTTTATTGCAACACTCGCTCTATTACCATGGTCTGGACCCAAATCCACAATATCTCCAAGGTACACCTGTACCAGTTGCCCACTCTGGCTCCTAATAGCATACCATACCTATACTGACTTACTTTCCTTGTATCACTTCCTCCTTCACCTGCTTGTACCCCTTGCCCCTGCCAATAAACTGCTTGCACTCAAACTCTGGGCTCAAAGTCTGCTTCTGAGGGAACCCGAGCTAAGAGAAAGTTCCTGTCTAGCGACTTCCTAGATCCTTTTGCTTTCCATATTTCTGTTATGTTTTCCTGGTTCTGAAGTTTTACTTGCATTTTATGATTATTTTACTTACGCTGTCTTGTTGTCTGTGCCCTCAAAGTCTTTGCAGAATAAAGCACAATGGGACCAATTTTTAGAAGAAAAACACCGCCATGTAATATTATGATTAAAATATAAGATATACATGGTTTGTAAAATGTGATCCCAATTAAAAAATACACACACACACACACACACACACACATGTGTGCATAGGGAAAACAGAACAGAAAGAAATGCACCAAAATGTTAACAGCGCTTAACTTCGGGTGATGTCTTTATAGATGGTGTAACTTTTTTCTCCTTTATACTTTATTATACAAAGACCGTGAAGCTTTAGTTTCCTCATATATACCATGGGGATAATCACAGCTACCTCATGAAGATGTGTCAACAAACTGTGAATATAACACAGCAATTAGCTGCATCACATATTTACATAATAATCCCAGTATGTGCCTAATATGTACTCTAATAAAGGGTAGGAAGTGCTGTTATTACAACAGCAATTAACGAAATAATTTAAAATGTTAGAAATAAGAAAGTAAAAATAAGCCATACTTATATGGTGCCTCGTACTTTTTAAAGAACATACATGAGCTCATTGTCCCTCACCAGAGGGACAGGGTCAGGGGGAGGCAACGGGCAAGTGACAGGACTAATACGGGGGGGGGTGCCAAAAAAATGTACACAAGTGGACACTTTGGTCAGCGTTACTCAAACAGTAGTTCGCCATAATCAAAGTGTCTGAGCGCTGATGGTAACCACTTTGAGCACCTCTTGTAATTGCAGAAGTCAAACGTGACTTGTATTCATCTTCTGTTATCAGTATATATTATTATAATTTTAATCATTTTTTCCTTTCTTAAAATGTGTATACATTTTTTTGGCACCCTCTGTATTTACTGAATAGCCACAGTGTGCCAGACACCAAGGCAAACACTTTGTAGACATCTCAGATGAGGACGGGGCTGAGAACAGTTCAGACACTTGCCCAAGTTACACAGGCAGGACCAACAGCTCCACCTTGAGACGCCCAGTCCAGGTTTCCTTCTGTTCCACCAGGCTCCATCACTATGTTTGGCCTCTTACATGCCCACCCATCCATGACATCCTTAGTTCCTACGGTATTCATGTTCACCGGTCTACAACACACACTCTGCTCCTTCCTATCTCTGTGTCCATGGAGAGTAACAAGGAGTGGTTTGCAGTGATGGTGATCAGGGAGAATGTAGCCTCCTAATCTCCCATGAAAACCACTTCACATAAATATTCGACCTAAATAAAAACCCCGTACTTGCTATGCAAACATAGCAGATTCAAGGTAAGTTTTGAATCAGTTTGTTCACATCTAGCCCTCGCTACACAGAAATTCTGGAACCGTTTCCTGGGACACGGGAGGTGACACAATTGGGAACTTAGGGAATTCTGCTACGAGAGTCCAGCGGGGAATGTGGGCTGGGAAAGAGAACTTCGGATGGTATTACTCTTTCTGTCCCCCTCAGGGTCCGGTGTTCTGGTCATCATGGAAAATATATGTGAGTTTTTCTTGCCGGATACCCAGTTATTGTGGTATCTTAATGGCTTGCTGATGGGCAGGGCCACATGGGGTGGGGGCTGTAAGCCGGGCATCCCTAATCATGCCAGCCCTCTCTGCCTTGCCTCCTACTCACCAAACGAAGCCCTGGGCTTTAGACTAACTTTGGGAAATCTTTCTCGACTCATCAGGCCTAAGGCTGATCTGTTGTACTTCGTGCTCTTTCTTTTGGCAGAATGTCTACCTAAGACAACCATGTGTGCGAGCTTCAAGGATGTTCGCCTTGTCATCCCGCCTCACTGACAAGCTCTCTTACAAGCAAGCACAGGGGCCACAGTAACAGACCACCTGCCCCCTGTGCCATTTGCCACTGTGAGCTGTTACTGTTCCTGGCGCCTGGCTCCTGGGAGCCACTCCCTTTCAGCATAGCCTTCGTAGCCCCTACCTCCGCTCCAGCTCTCTTCTTTCTTCAGAACTTCCACATCTTCCCCAACCCCTTATCACTCCATTATGTTTCAAGGGTGAACAATCCTTAGGGGTGTGGTGCAAAGACTCCTAACATTTTCCTTCTGCAGGTAAAAAAGGCATTAACTGACTGGAGCCATGCCACACTCTTGCTCAAAATTCTTAATGGCTCCCAGTTGCCTCTAGATGTGTTCTAGCTCCTAAGTCTGATAGTAAAGCCTCCCCTCCATGAGTTAGCCAGGAGACCTTCCTAGCCTTCCTTGCACTACTCTATAGATCAGTAGCTCATGGGGCCTCTGAATGCAATTCTCTCCTCTTCCAGTGTGCAAAGCACTTTTAGTCTCCAAACCCAAATCACACCTAACACTAACTGATTAAGCCCCATTCATCCTGGTGGAAAACAGTTTCCATCCTCATTAGCACTTTTGCCTCCTAACTCCCATCCTGGTATTCAATCTGATCTTCTCCCTGTAAGCTTGAAGTCAAGGACAGGCTCTCTTTTTTTTTTTTTTTAAAGATTTTATTGGGGAATTGGTGAGCGGAACAGGGTTGGGGAATCAGGGAAGGGGCACAGACAACCTGCTAAGGACGGGGTCTTTTTAAATTTGTGCCTCCGCATCTGATCAGATCAGTGCCCTGCGCGTGGTACTAACGCAATAAACGTTTATAGGTTCCTGTCCCAATTTGTAAGCTTTCTCCGGAAAGCTCCATGAACTCAAGCAACGTCTCCTTAACTAAACTGAAAATCTCCCATAGCAGAGCATCTCCAATTTAAGGGTCATTCAAGTCCACCGGGGACTTTGTTAACTGCAGATTCTGACTCAGAAGGTCATGGATGGCGGGAGGGGGTGGCGGCGCTGAAACTGCATTTATAAAAAGCTCCCAGATGATGCTAATGCAACTGGTCCGTGGGCCACATTTAGCGACGCGGGGAGGCAACGTCACCTGTTGATCAGGAAACAGCTCACAGCGGCGCAGCCCCGCTGAGCGCGGAGGTGATGAAGGTTGACAAGCGCCGTTCTGCCCTTTGAGCGCCCATCCAGGAAAATGCCAGCGGCTCCTCCCGGCCCTGCGCCCTCCCGTGGTGCTCACTTACCTATGGTGGACACGACGGTGCCCACGAAGTAGAAGGCGCCGGTGAAGTCCCAGCGCTGGCGGGCGTTGTCCACGCGGATGCCGGCCTTGGCGGCCTCCTCGTAGTGGCGGAGGAAGCCGCGCAGCTCGTCGCGGCTCAGGTTGTGGCGGCGGCTGAAGTTGGCCAGGCGCTCCTCCCAGCGCTGCTTGGCCTGGAGCTCGTGCGCCAGCTCCAGCGCGGAGAAGACGGCGGCGCCGCCCAGCAGGTAGAGCGCGATGAGCGCGGCGAGCAGCAGGAAGCGCGCGTTGTCCTCGTTCAGGTGGCCCGAGCCGCAGCCGCAGCCCCGGCCGGCCATGGCCCGGACCCCGGCGTCGGCACCGAGCCGGACGGCCGTGACCGCGGGCGCACTCCTGCCCAGGCCCTCCCGGGAGGCCGGGGCTCGGCCGGGCGCTCAGCCCGCCCCGGGACGCCCGACGGCCCGCTAGCCCATGGCCGCTGGGCGCTGCCCCGGGCCGCAGCCTCGCCCGCTCCTGCGGAGCTGACACTCCACGTCCGCACCCACTCCTGGTTTCAGGTCCGCTTTTTCGCAGCCGTCTCCGCCCACCTTGGAGTTCTGATGCTGAAGGTCCGAGGGACCCGGCGCAGGGTCCGCTTCTGCTGGGCAGGAGGGTGCGGGCGCTGCTTCCACCCCGGCGCCCCGTCCGGCTCAGATTGGGGGGGCGCGTCTTCAGGGCAAACGCGGGCGGACTTGCGTTTCCCCCAGAGCGCAGGTAGGGGGCCCCGGGAGGCTGGCGGGGCAGCACAGCCTCGCGGACTCGGTCTCTTTGACCATCGCTTCCCAAGCCGTCGACGACGAGGACGCGGGTATCGGTCGGCTGGCTCCGCCGGTGCCTCTCCAAGTGAGTCCGCGGTGCTGAGCCCCGGTCGCGGCGTCGCGCGGAGCCTCAGGCCCCCAGGGTTCCCGGCCCGGCTGCCGGGGCGCGGCGGCTGGAGCAGGTGCCGGGCGGGCGCACGGTCGGGGACTGTGCAGAGCGGCGTCCACAGGTTTCGACCTCCCGCCCGGCCCCCACGCTGCGCGGCTTCCGGCGGGCCGAGCGGCTGGGGGAGGAGACCAGAAAGGGAGATTGGAGTAAGGGAGCGACGGAAGTTAGGCGCATCTCCCCCGGCAGGGCAGCCTCGGTCAGCCTCCCTCGTCTGGCCCCAACCAGCACGCCCTTGGCCTCCGGCCTCCTGCGCGGGGGCGTCTCCCGTCCCCACGTGTCCGCTCCGCGGGCGCGAAGCGCGCGCCGCGCGCGAGCCAGCTCCAGCTCCCCGGGAGGCTGCCAAGGACCAGGGGCTGGCAGAGCCCCGCGGGCAGGAGCTCGTGATCTCAGGCAGTGTCATCTCCTCCACCGAGGCTTGGCCGCCTCGGGGCGTTCCAGAGACTTCGCGCCGACAGCGCTCCGCGCGGAATGCTCTCCCCCGCCCCATGCAGACCAGAGGCAAGGCTCTCCACACCGCGGGGCCCCCTCCCCAAACCCCACCTTTCAGGGGTTGCTGGCCCCGCGACCGCTTTCGAATCTCACCTTCCGGGAGCGCCCCCTCCGCTGGGACTGTCCCCAGCTCACCTCCTCGTCTCGGCCCTGTCCTGAAGAGCGGCGCGGGGAGCAGAGGTCTTAGCCTTGCCTGGCCGGCGCGCTCCGACACTGCAACAGGTGGAGCCACTCAGCTGGCTGCAGCAGCGACTCCACCCCGTCTCCCGCCCCACGGCCGCGCGGGGCGGCCCCCAGCGCTAGTCTCCGCCCGCAGATGCCCGGCTTTCCTCGGGCCCTAAGGGGGCTGCGATACTCCAACCCTCCCGCGCGCAGATCCGGGGAGTGGGTGCTGAAGAGGCGGGTCAGGTGCTTAGGGGGCTGTGTGGGCCCCTCTCGGGCCAAAAGAGGGCGCTCCGCCCCCTTCAGATAAATCTCGCCCCCACCTGTGTACCCATCCACACACTGCCCCTCCAAATCACCAGCCCCTAGAATGTGGGAGTGAATAAAGATACATAAAGGAATAGATGCGTGGGCATCTTTGAACTAAGAATTTCCCCGCCTGCCGAGAGTGGTCCCAGGCTCAAAGCCCACCCACGCACCTACGCTCCCAGGAGCACAGAATAAAAAAATAAAAAAAACCACCGCTCTGGATTCCAGTATTCTAGCACCAGAAACCCTGATGCGGCTATTATTCCTCTCAGCTCCGTTATCCAGTCTCGAATGCCCTCTTTGATCTAGCCTGTTGGGGGGCAAGAGTTCTAGGGGGTAGTGCATATGGGGACATGTGAATACATCCTGGGTGAGTCCTGCAATTACTCATCCCCACCATTTTATTATGAAAAATTTCAAACAAAGTTGAAATAATATTACAGTGAACATTTTACTTGCGTTATTACGTATCTCTCCAACCCTCTTTCCATCCGTCAACCCATTTGGTGTAAATACATTTCAAAGTAAGTGGTAGACGTTAATACACTACCCCTCTCCCCAATACTTCTCCCTCCGTATCATTAACTTAGAGTTCAATATTTACAGGGTGTTTTACAGGTAAAATTTATATACAATGAAAATGCATACATCTTAAGTGAAACATTAGATGCGTTCTGACAAGTGCATCCAATTCTGCAAATTAAAAAACTTACCTATCAACCAAATATCACCAACAGGTCAGTTACCACAGTCCTTCCCAGCAAATCCTCGCCCCCATTCCTACAGAGAAAGTCACTGTTACTATTTTTTTCTAACCCTGATTGGTCTTGCCTTTATAGCGCTAAGTTTTTTCCCCCCCTGCCCTAGATCTTCATAATATTTAATCAGTTATGTACATTTTTGTGTAAAGCAGTTTTTGATATCCATCCATGTTGTCTTAGAATTTGTTCCTTTTTATTCTTAGTTTTTTATTGTTTGAATATGCTATGCCATAGTTTTATTTATTCTCCTCCTATTGATAAAGACTACAGCTGTCAGAAAATTGTGGCTATCATAAATTACTTAAGAACATTCTTGTACAAGTATTTGTGGATATGTTTTCCTATCTGTTGGGTAAATACCTAGGAATAGAATTGCTGGATAGGGTAGGTGTGAATTTAATTTTATAAGAAGCTGCCTACCATTTTTCCAAAATAGCTGTACCAACCAACAATCCTTGTGAACATTTGGCAGTGTCATTTTAACTTTAAACATACTGGTGGATGTGTAGAGGAATGCACTTTTTGGCTATATGTATATCTGCCTTTGTAAATTATATTAAAACATTTTTCCCATTAGAAAAATTAAAATTATTTTCTTTTGAATTGAGTTATATGGATTCTTTATATATCCAGGACACCACTCCTTTCTTGAATTTTGCCAATATTTACTACCAGTCTCTGGCTTGCCTGTTTATTTCCTTAAAGATGTTTTCTGATGGATGTATTTTAAATTTTGGTGTAGCCCAATTTATCTTTTTTGTTTGGTGCTTTGTGTATTATGAAATCATTACCTCCCTCAAGTTTGCAAAGGTTTTTTGGTTTTTTTTTAAAGATTTTATTGGGAAATTGGGGGAGGGGAACAGACAAGTTGCTGTCATTTTGCTCTACAGTCTAGTTGTGGAGGACGTCACTTCACTGGGCCATGTTGGTATTATCATTGCACTCTTCCTGGGTGAGGCAGATCGGTCACCGGCCTCTGGACTGCTGCTCAAGGCGGCTCTTGGCAGCTCACACTGGCTGCTAGCCACTCACAGTAGCTTATGGCAGCCCACTGCAGCCTACCCCGTCGCTGGCAACTCACGGCAGCCCAGCTCCAGGTTGAGCTGTTGTTCACCATCTTAGCTGTAGAGGGCAGTGTCACTGGTCCCCTTGTGGGATCTGAACCGGGGCCCTGCTGCTCAGAGCTGGCGTCCCAAGCCAGCTCTTAACCAACGCGCCACTCGGCCGGCCCTGCAAAGGTTTTTTGTTTTTTTCTTCCTTAGAAATTTTTATAGATTTAACTTTTATATGTGGGTCTATGATCCATTTTAAGTTTATTTTTCTGTATGGTGTGAGGTAAGGGTCAAGTTCACTTTCCACATGCAAATCTTATTATTCCAGTGCCATTTGCTGAAAAGACAAATAAGAGTGAATGTATTTAGGGAATCTGTAGTTTGCTCATTATTTGTCCATCCTTATGCTAATACCACAAATTAGGTTGCCTGTAGCTTTATTGTAGGCCTTGAAGTCAGAAAGAGTGTGACCTTCAACTTGGCTCTTCTTTATCGTCTTTGGTATTACAAGACATTCATTTTCATTAAAGAATTGTAGACTCAGCTTGTTAATTTCATGGGGGGAAAAGCCTTGTGGGGTCTCTATTGGGGTTGTGTTGGATCTATTTTGGGGAGAACTGGTATTTTAATTAGTGAATGAGGCATATCCCTTCATTTCAGTCTTCTTAGCAAGATTGTAAGGTCTTGCACATCTGTTGTACATTCATCCTGAAGTATTTGTGGGGTTTTTTTTTTGCTATTATAAATGAAATATCAAGATTTCATTTTCCAATTCTTTGCTGTAGTATATAAAAATACAACTTTTTGCAAATTAACTTAGTTCCTACAACCTTTCTAAGTTCACTCATTAGTTGTATTGTAGTAGTTGATTCCTTTAGGATTTTCTATGTAAATACTCATGTCATCTGAAACAGGGTTTTGCTTCTTCCTTTCTTATATTTGTCTTATTCTTGTCTTACTGCAATGGCTAGGATCTCAGTATATTGAACAGAAGAGGTGGAAGCAGATATCTTTGTCTTGTTCAAGAACTTAGGGGAAATCCTTTAGTTTTTCACCATTAAATATGATGTTAACTGTGGGTTTTTCATAGACATTCTTTATCAGATTGAGGAAGTTTACTTTTTTGTTTCCAGTTTTCTGAGGTTTTTTTTTTAAACATGAATGAGTCCTGAATTTTCGCAAGTGCTTTTTCTGCATCTAGTGCAATGATCATATAAATTTCTTTTATTCTGTTAATGTTGAATTTCATTGATTGGCTTTTCTAATGTCAAGCCAACCTTGCATTTTGGGGATACATTCCACTTGAGATTTCTACTCTTTCATTCTTCTACTTCTTTTTGGGTTTACTTTGCTTCTTTTTCTAGATTCTTATGGTGGACACATAACATCACTGATTTTAGACCTTTTTCTAATGTTAGCATTTTAAAGCAATAAATTTCCCTGTTATCCCTGTGCTAACTGCATCCTAAAAATTTTGGTATATTTTCATATTATTTTGTTCAAAATATATTTTCTTCTTTGACCCATTAAGCAGTGTTGCTTAATTTCCAAATGTTTTCCAAGACAAATTATTTATTTCTAACATTTTCAATGTGGCCAGAAAACCACATTCAGTGTCTC